ACGAGTACAAGGGGCCGTCGTTGCTCATTGGATTGGGCTGCCGCGCATATGTGGGGAACCTTAATTATCGTCGCACATAAACACGGATCCAGTGGCTACAATAGGCAGTCGAGGTGAGTGAAAGCGGCTACTGTCATCGTGGTGATCGCATTATGATTGGTGGTCACCACCTATAGAACGTCATAGTTATAATAGGAAAGACGCCCACAGCATTCTGGTAACACTGTACTACCTACAAGCTAGTTATGCATATCTGGAAAAGGGGATCATCAACAGATGTCCCCTGCACGGCCACTGCAAGTTTGTGCTGTTATGTAACTTTATTGCACTTAATGGAACATGAGATCCATGGGAAAATGTGTTTGTGAGCAGGTTTACCAAACAAAAGTATCCCATTTGTTACAAAATGCTACGTGCAACATGTCACGGGAAGGTGCAAATTGAATAGACTAACTTTCCATTAAAATAGCAACTTCGAAAAGCCTATAGTTTCGGCGAACTCAATTTTGGTGTGTCAGTAGCCTGCGGCCGTGAAGACCAGGTCGGTAACAGGCTGTTCGTAGTTCCGCCTTGATAAGAGTGGATGTGACGAGGATGCTGGGGCTGAATCTAGACCTGCAAATTGTTCTCTGTGAACCTCAGATACCACGGATGGGTCACTCGTGGGTTCTTCCCTCCTGACCCTCAAGGAGAAGTCGGATGGGTTGTTTCTGCGGCAACGTCTCATGTCTTTGAACAGTACGTTTTTGTTTTTCCGAGCAAGGTCTAGAATGGTGGCTTGTTTTCGTATGTTCCACCTGCGGATTTCTGATTTACAGTGGTTCTGCACTTGACGAAAGGCCAGTTCATCTTCCGTATCCCCTGTAGTCGACTTTTCGAAAAAAAGGTTGGGACGTTTTCTCCAGAAGTTGCCGCATCCTCTTTGGCAGACTGCGGCTCATTCGAGTGCGCGTTGTTATTTTGGGACGAACATCGCGTCAGCCTCGTGAACTTTCTGGACCCATATATACACACATACATATATATATATGCATGTACACGTATATGTACATATATGTATATACATATATATATATATTACATATGTGTATGTATATACATTTATATGTACATATATATATACACATATATGGTCCTATATAATTGTTCCACTGGAGCTGGTCCCAGTTTAACTTGTTAAAGAAAGATACACATTCCTGAGAAGTCTGCAGAGCAGAAGCCCCGAAACCACGTTTGAGGTCCGGGATTTCTTGCCCAATAGCAGACGAAATCAGAGGTCAGCACACAGTGTTCGCTATGTCCCAGTGGAGCGGTAATTGTTACCTGACCAACGAAGTGTCTTTCGTTGGCGATGACCAAATCCAGGATAGATGGTGGTTGGCCTGCGCGGTATATGGCGGGTGCAACGACATGCTGAGTCCAAGCGCTCTGTTGAACAACTTCAATTAGCGCCGCTGCAGAACGTCCGCTTGATTCGACGAGCAAGAGCTCCATCCATGAAGCTTTTGAGTGTTGAAGTCACCTACCAGCAGGAGATGCGTTGAATGGTAGTTGGAGGAGAGTTGCCAAAGGGTTCGTATGAAGGATTGGTTGTCTTCCGGGGGACTCGGGAAGCCACGGTTGACCACACCGAGAAGGAGAGAATCGGACCCACGCAGCGGGATTTGAACCCAGGGTGCATCGCAAAAGGGTACAGGAGTGGTATCAGAGGGCACAATCGGGATTGGTAGGACCACATGTGAGTACAGAGTAACCCCATCAACCCTCCTCGTTTTGGGTCAGCTGGAAAAATAGAGTAACCATCTATTGAGGTATCCGCGTCAGAGACATCTGGTGTGAGCCAGGTCCCTTTGAGCGCGATTATGGACGGTTGTTCAAGGCAAGTTGACTATTAAACATCGCCAAGTTTGTTGAAAAGGCTGAGGTGGTTTGTGGACAAGCATTCTAACACTGTCTTTGCTGCCTTCGAGGGTGAGGAGCCGTTTTGGTCTACTCAATGAAAGCAACAAACGATGCTTCCGAGTACGGTGTCAAAAATGTCAGCAAGAAGAGATAAAATAGGCCGTGTTTGCGTGTTTGTTAATTTTACACTTATTGGGCACTGACTTTGCTGGCTTTCCGTCTGTTCCAGAAAGTTTCGCATTTATTTCGTTTTAATAGACGGACGCTTCTCTTTTATGCTTTAAACTTCTCTTCATTAGCGGATTATGGGCGTCATTGGTGCCAACTGGCACTTCAAAGCACCAAATATTTGTCTGTGATTTGACACCTGGTAGTTAAAACCGAGATAGGAAATGTGCAACCGCCGGCCCTATAATATCGGTTAGTTACATTCTGACCTTTCACAAATATTTTTGCGGTAACGTCCAAAGCTGCTCGTCCTGCCCCAGGGGTAGTTGGCTAAAATCGGTTCTCTTAAGGGTCGTTGTTGGTACGGAGGTGTCAGCTATGCTTGCCTGGGAGGGAAACACATAGACTGGTTCGCTATTCCTAATGATTCATTATGGTTTCGCAGCTTAGGACAATGCCTTTGGTGGCCAGGGTGTACATGGTTTCCGCTTAAATTTTTGGGTGACAGAACAATTAAGGGTATCATATTGGTTTACGAAAATGGCCGTCAAATACTTGTTGCAGGTTTCAGCGCGTTTTATTCGGGATTTGACGTGAGTCATAACAAATACCCACCTTTTTGAAGTATGGCGCCTCCGGTTCATTTGTTGGTATTGACTTTTAAAAATCTGTTTCCCCAGATTGCACTGAAAAATCGGAAATTACCTGCATAACTGTGTGCCTCGGTAAACGACAGACCATATGATGAACCTAGTCTGTACCTGAATAACTTTAGATACCAAGTGACCCGTCATTTTGTTTAAAGATGTTTTTTTAAGAGAAGACGTCGATATTTGTATTGACGCATTTCTTCATTCACATTCAGTAAATAATAGCCCAGCAAATGCCTCCGGACCCTTGCGCTAAATGGGTGAACCTTTTTGCAGTCAATCGTTTCAATTCTTTTCGGCGTTTGAGAACCTGTGCATATTTTCCGTTGTATCGGTGATTGAACTGATAACGCCAACTGCACAGCTTTTCCGCACGTGCTTGCCAAAACCGCGGCTCATGTTGTAAGAGAAAGTGATATCAAGAAGTTAGAATTTAATGACAGCATGGCCGTACTGAAAATGACGCAGTGTAAAACAATACAGCAGACACCAAATTATTGAAACTATTTTCCTTACCGCCATGAAAATTGATGGGCTGTCAGAAGTTAGAATTTAATGACAGCATGGCCGCACTAAATATGACGCAGTGTAAAACAATACAGCTGTTGCAAAAGGGGAACCGTGGTTAGCTCATAACCTGACAGTATGCAACATTCCTAATTTGATCAAACTTTTGCCGCTTATATGCATTTGTAGTATCCGCAGACAGCTCAAAAGGATGACCCCGAGTGTTTGCGCGGAGGCCTGTAGATTAAATGCATACCCTAAAGAGTGCAACACTGGGATATGTGATTTAATCAGGTTTGATTGACTGTAGTCATTGATGTCATCCTGAGGTAGCTATGTTTGGAGACCTGGCTATGGCTCGGGTTTAGTGGTGCGCTCTTATACCGTAATAAACCTGCCAGCACCTACGGGCCACATTATTCTGTACCTGGGTGTTTGCTGTACTTCTGATACTCTGTAACCCCCGTATTCTTCCCTACTTTACGGTGTATTTTATTTGCAGTGGGGTTAACACTGCCTGACTAGCATTCTCCACCCGTATTCCGGTAACATTATTGATACCGTGCGCTAGTTACACACCGCGATATATTGGCGTGGCCCATCACTGGTGGACCAGTTGGCGGGCTCCAACTACGCCCTGACTGATAAAGAATGTCTGCGTTTCTCGGTAATACTGATCGCAAGATTCTCCTACAAAACTATGCGACGAGCTGATCCCGACATTATTGAGTGCGTAACCCCAAGCGCGCTCCTGCAATAAGTCAACAAGTAGTCCCTTATTGTCCTTTTAGTTTCGAGAAGGATAGGAACTAATCCCATCCTTAAAAAATTGACCAGCGACCATGTACCGGTGAATGTCATTGTTCGCGCTTCAGTGTGTATTCCTAAGGTACAAACGTTTCTCAACGCTGAGAAGATAAGATCAATTTTTCTTGCTCAATCCAGACTACACACGTAACTATGGTGCAGCGAACTGGATAAAATATAGGTTGCGGAGCTTTTGGAGGTAGGGGAGACCGACTGACGGAAGAGTGGCGACAAAGCACAGGCAGATGATTAGAATGTAATAAACATCAATGAGAGGCCTATAAGGATCCAGAAATCTGGTTTTACACAGAAACGATTAAAGTAGGCTGTGATTTGGTTTAAAGTACAAATGGCTAAGGCAAAGTGTTGCAGAAGGCAGTATGTTCAGATTTATGGATAATTCTGACGACCGAGGGCTAGACAGGAATTAGTGATATTTTTACGATGAGTGGGATGCAAGAACAAATAAAAAGGCCGTTAGTATGCAGTGATGCTAAATATTTGGACGAGGGCGGAAAGAAGAGGTCTTCAAGAATGTTGAGGTCACCATAAGATCCGGACAGCTGAGGATCTTGAAGGACGACCGGAGCTATTGTATCATACTCGGCCAATACTGAGTAGGCAGTGGGAGAAGAAGAATAAAAGCAGTAGATACGATACTGAGAACTGAACAAATGTATTATTGAATAGTACAGATCAAGAAGAACGTTGACTCATGGGAGCAATCAGCAGAGATATCGCCGCCAAGAACTGCCAACGGCCTCAGAATGAGTTGTAAAAATACAAAACGAACGATATGTAGTATAGGCAAATTACACCAACCTACAAGCAGAAATAAATTGCAGCGGAATTGATGCAGTAACCTTCAGTTGGCTGCTTTCATTAAGATTGGATTGATAAGGTAAGAGCGAAGGGGGCGAAACTGGGCTCGGTCAGGTCAAGCCGGAGCGTAACAGGTTGGAAATGTGGCACTCTCAGTCTGAAATATCTAACTACGGTGTAACTAACCCCAAAACGTAACCGCTGTCTAATTTGTTTTCAACGTGTTGTCTCTGAGTTTAAATTGCGTCCTCAGAGTGTCACTCGTAGTCATTAACTTCAAATACTTGAACGTCTGGTCCAAACGGGCTCCATTGGGCCATTGACAGCCGTCGGATGTAGCCAGTCATTACTGTCGGGGCACAAAAAATGTGCTACTGAATAACGTCGTTGGATTCAGAAGGCTGGGCAGAGCTGTACTCCTAAACGTCGTGAACGCGGTCGGCGACCGTCTTCAAGCGGAACAAGTCTTGGCATTCATATCCATTCAGACATTACAAAAACTTCCGTAATTATCGATTCAAAACCGGCTGGGAGCTTTAGATTAGAATAGCCTAATTCAAAGTGAAGTTCCATCGGCGTGTTTAGGGGCAAAAGTGGAAGACATTGATGCCAAGTTGACCTGTTTGGAAATAGCGGGCGAGAAATAAGCGCAGCCAAGTCTCAGGTCAAAATATATGATATTTCACGGACGGAGTTTTCACGGATTGATACACAGGATCGAGGCTTTTGCCCAAGTTTCCTGGGTCGGTTTTGTTCTTGTCGGTCAGTGGCTGTCGTTCACCTGAAAGGCACAAGTGAAAAAAGGGTGTAGCACTGCTCTTTATGTTCTCAGCGCGGGCAGTATGCTCGCCAGTGCGAGGATTCGCATAAATAAATGTCTAATAGTACTTTAAATTGGATTCGAGAAGGAGCGTGTACAACCGTCGGAGGAAGGTCAGTCCACGCAGCTACTACCCGAAATGAAAAAGAGTTTTGTCTAATTCATAGGCCTCTTTACTCAGCTCTATGTCGGAAAATCGTTTTGATGAAGCAGGAGAAGGAGTATAGGATGAAACTTGGGTCACACGATACCAAATGAACAAGAACGTGTGAACGGTGAGTTTGTGCATTAACTAAGTTAAGAAAACGAGATGAACGTCAGTCTCAAGCGTGAGCCGATTGCCAAACGGCTCTGGCTTCTAGTGTGTGACTGCATCACAAAGTAGCCCAAATATTCAGTGTGCGGCGCTTGGAAGAATTATACCTTGAAAGCATCGGGATCGGACTCATCAGATTGCGGAGACAAGACGGAACAGCAAGCATCGCGTTAGCTCTGGCCGAAATGAGAATCAAAGAGCAAAAGGCGGCTACAAAGGATGGATCAGTTTATTGCACTTCGGCGACCCAAGCTAATAGGTAGTTTCATTAGATTAACGGATACATGTCACTAACTACAACGCTAGCTGTTTGGTTACCAATGAATTCTAGAAGGTTGCGTATCACAAGGCGTCTTACTTTAGATGGAAGGCGAAAAATTGTGGAAGGCGTCGCCGACTGAAATTTCTTAATATAACCTCGTGGTGATATCAGAAAGGATGCGGGGCTGCCAGAGTGGTAGTCCTTAGATCAGGGCTTTATGCACACAAAAGGAGACCACAAATGGTTGGTGAATGTGTATTTCGTTTTAAAGTGATGGGGAAAAATGAACAATGTCTGATGGTGAAATACCCCAGTACCAGGCCAATAAAGACTAAGGCCCAATGAAACCAAGAAAAAATTGAGATGAGTATACTTACTGGGGACCGTTGATGCATGATAAGTGGATAAGCAGAGGTTGTATGCGCACGCATTTTTAAGGAGGTGGAAGCTTTCACAGGGTAGACGCATACCAAAATGAAGGAAAATCCATACATTAAGAAGATGCAACTGCTTGTGCACTGACGGCAGAAATTAGGCGGTACGAGGCTGTAATTCAAAGGAGAGGTACTTTAGTACCACTAATTTACTACAGAGAGCAGCCTATGAGTAAGTGTTTAGTAACAGGTTTTGTGACAAAATGCTTTCATAGAAGCCTCGGTAAGAAACCTCACAATAAAGTGATTGCAAAACCCGAAAAAGGGTCGTGAAAAATATGGGAACCAGAGGCCACCGCACAAACTCTTTTCTGGCGGAGGTTGAATATCTGCTCGTAAGGTTGGCTAGTATTCTACAACACACCGAAACGCACCCAAAGTTAAGAAGAGTACATGAACTTTATTGGGCAGGTCTTGAGGAAGACAAAATGCAGTATTTTTTATCCTTAAAACTTTGTGTCCTAGGGTCCGCACTAGAAGCGGATTATTTAAGGAGAACTTGCAACAATGAGATCAATAAATACTTATCATGTACGTAAAAATGAGCTCTGGACGCCGTGAAATCAGCATAAGTTCATCATGTTCCTTAAAATTGAAGAGCGGCTTTTTATTTATATCTTTGTGGTGTCAGAAACATCTATCAGGGAGAAGCTCAGGTAAAGTTCAATCTGGACACCATAGACTTCAATGATAACTGTGGATTTCCTGGGTTTAAGAAAGACTCGGGACCACAGCCGCATGGTAGAGGTTTCCGTGGATTCCAGGGTGATCAACTACCCTCAACAGTAGGGTAAGATGCGTTATAGCAGTCATTCCTCTAGAAGGTAACCAATAGCGTATGCGCAAACCTAAAACTCTACTAAGCGGACAATAACCATGCCTCGATGTAATGAAACAGATCAATCAAATCAACCAAGCATGTAGCACACATTCGCCAGTTCCGAAAAGTCGCGGAAGCGGTACCATTATCGACAGTTTCCAAAGTGATTGTGAAAGTGAGTGAAACTCGAGCTTTGGAAGTGAAAACAACTTGAGTGCACCACCCTGAGGATGTTTCATGCTCCATACCGCTGTTTGATATAGGAGGGATAGATTTATTAGGGGCACACCGTTAGATCCACTACTTCATTGACATTCTGGATCAGGTCGGTCACCGATGAGCTTGTCGGTAATCTTTTGGATTAATTAGGTAAGGCCAGGTTCTGGCTTCACTGAAATGGTCCACCGTACATGCTGAATTTACCTCTCGACCTAGTTGCGCCAGAAATGTAAGAAAATCAAAGAGGAAAGCAAGACGCACTTATCACAGAACGTTTGATATTATGGGGGTGCCTTCGCGGTACACGTTTTAACAGTACGGTGCTGGAAAGTCCGTTTCACCGGAGGGCAGATTAGTGTATTGCGAGTTACCCAGTACTTAGTTAGTCAAACGGATAGATAGTAACTATTGTACTGGCGCGCTCCCACCCTTACTATGGCTAATGGGCCGTGTTCAAAGTTTCTCGCTTGGACCCACCAGAAATTTCATCAGAGGCACCGCAGCACATAACTCATTGGGGTCTCCCTTGGGCGGATGACACGAAGCAGCCGGTTTATTCACTCACGAATAAACCAAGGAACAAAGGGTGGAATGTAGTAGTCGTAACTGCGGGAAAACTATTGCTACATGCAGTTGTGTGGGATCAGAGATCGAAGTTATCCAGTGAGCATCACCAGAGTCCCGAACGTTCAAAATTAAGGACGATTCTTTCAGTGTTCGATCCATTCACAGAATTTACACGTATCGTTTGTTAAATTGTCTGACTAATATAACAATTTGTTCGCGGTTCCTATTTTGCACCCAGTCTCAATCATGACACTAATCAACACGGGCTGCTCGATGGTTGCAGCAATGAACCACAATAGACTTGGGTCAAATGGCTGTCCGTCGAATGTGAGACACGGTATGCAAGTTCCGATGGATCTTTGAATGCACGGGTTTACAGGACGATCGGTTAAGCCAACTAGCTAACTCTCCTGACCCGACTGTCTGCGCCATTTCCTCTAAAATAAGGGCGCAATACATTCCGCGATCAGAGGAGCCAGAAAAAACGAATTCAAACCCTCACTGAAGAATCAGGAAGACCAGTGCGAATTTACGCTTCAATCAGGATACTCAGTACAAAATTGGAGCTTCCTTTCAAGGCTCTGAAGGATGCAAACACATAGAACACAGCGACCAGAACGGAAGTTGACAAAGAAGTTACTTCGCTGAACAAGCACCTTGTGTTATCCATTTCGAGTCCTCTGGCTGTGGAGAAGGTATCCAGCCCTCGGATGCGACAATAAAGATCGCCACGGCGTCTCTAGTGGACGAGAGCGTATTGGAGAGCGAAAGCAGACTCAGTCGCCCTTTGGTAGTGTCCTGGCAGCTTCAAGCAGACTGGCTACGCCAGAAGGAAAGCAAGCAAACCCGCGGGATTTAGGCCGCCCATTTCTCATCATCCGCCATGCAGAAAAGCTTGGAGTGGGTCGTCAGCATTTAAAAGGCCCGCACAAAGTTCAGGTCTCTATGTGAGTATCGCCCTCTAGAGTCGCAAAAGCTGGGCTACAGCAGTTCTAAGGAAAGGTGCAAAATCAGCTTCTGCTCGGAGTCAGTTCAGCCGACCCCAAGCCTATAGCCAAATCGATCGTAGTTATTGTAACGACCGTTTCGACTTCTCGAGCAAGAGCACCAAGGTCAACAACCAAAACCAGCTAAATTTCGAACGAATGGCTGAGCATGTGTGCTGTACAATGAAGAAGTAATTATATGTATACAAAATTAAAAACCTCACCGGTTTCCGACAAACGGTGGGGTGCCCCGAAAAGCAAGCAACAGTAAACGCGTAATCGTAAACTGATGAACAAATTCATAACTGACCAAGTTTTTGGTGCAAAAATAGTATAACAGAAGCGGTAAAAGCTATCTGAGTTGCAACAGTTATAGCCTCTTGTCCCTTGGCTCAACCAGGCGTGACTCCGGACAGGAGTTTCAACCCAACCACCGCAGACCCCTCGACTTACCCAGGTAAACAGTTATAGCCCCTTGTCCCCTTGAAATCACGCTGGCTCAACCAGCCGTGACTCCGGACAGCAGTTTCAACTCAACCACAGCAGACCCCTAGACTTACCCAGGTACCGATGCCCCGAAGGACGCAAGCCTCAGGTGGACGCGGTGCCCAAAGTATGTATGGCTGCCAACACTCCCTTCCGTAACACATGACAAAAATACATCAGTGAATTCTACATCCAAGTCCCAACTTCTGAGTTATACTGTGTCAGACTTGCGCTGACTAGCGGCGAGGCCTATCGACAAATCAGCCATATGCGTTGACGTCGACATCCGGGAGTGCTGCGAGAACTGCACAACCGCTGTGAATATGAAACTCCCGATCTCCAGCACCAAGCCGCCAAAATTGGCCTGGTTGGTTGTGGACACAGTCGTTGCCCAGGGTCTCGACGGCCACAGCTAGAGACGTGGCTCACACGATCTCCAGCACCAAGCCGCCAAAATTGGTCTGGTTGGTTGTGGACACAATCGTTGCCCAGGGTCTCGAAGGCCACAGCCAGAGACGTGGCTCACACCAGATGTTTCTGACGCGGAGAAGGCTACTCCGATTTTCGAGCTGACAAAACCAGGGAGAGCTAGTGGGTTTTCTTTGTACCTACATGCGGCCCTGCTCATATCAGTCCTCCCCGTTACCACTCCTGCACATTTTTTGATTCACTGTGGATTCAATCCTGTCATGGGGTCCAGATCTCTTCACCCCGGTGTGGTTTACCCTTGCCCCTCGAGTCCTTCGGAAGATGACCAGTTCCACATACGAACCCTTGAGCGACTCTCATTTAGCTACCACTTCACTCATCTCCTGCTGGTAGCTGATTTCAACGCTCAGAAGGCCTCCTCAATGGAGCTCAAGATCAACTGGACATTTTGCAGTGACGCTGACCGAAATCATTCAACAAAGCGCTTGGATATAATGGGTTGTTGCACCTACTAGATATCGCGCAGGTCAACTCACATTCCTTCCTGGATTTGTTCATCATCGACGAAAGACACTTCGTAGATCGGGTGATAATCATCGCTCTACTAGGACACAGCGATCTTTGTGTGTTAACCTTTGATTTCATCTACTATTGGGCCAGAATCTTGAACCTCAAACGTGGATTCGAAATTTTCGCCGTGCAGATCTTTCAGAAATGGTCGTCTTTCTTGAACAAGTTAAACTGGGACCAGCTTCAGTCCAAAAAATACACGAGGCCGGCGAGGTGTTCGTCCCAATAAAATTAGCACGCAGTCGAATGGGCCATAAGCTACCTAAAAGGATTCGACGTCTTCTGGCTCAACTGTTTTTCAAAATGTTGACCACGTAAGACACGGGAGAGAAGCTTAAGTTTCGTAACATGCAGAACCGCTAGGAATCAAAAATTCGCCAATCGAACATGCGAAAACAAGACACCAATCTGGACCACGCCCGGTAAAACAGAAATGTGATGTTCAAATACATCGGACGACGCCGCTGAAACAATCCACCTGCGTTCCTTTTTAGGGAGAGCATTGGTGAACTCACGAGTGACTTACTGACCCAATAGTGGTACCTGAAGTCTACAGCGAACACTACGCGGGTCTATATTCAGGCCCAGCTTCTCGTCATATCCAATCTTGTCAAGGCGTAACTACGAACGGCTTCTAACTGATTTGGTCCTCACGGAATAGGTCATTTGACAACTTTTGCAGGACATGAGCCGCTCTGCGCGTTAAGACTAGTGGAGCTCCATCCAAGGAGACTCGAGGTGTCATTCACACTGGCGAAACATCTCTACCTGGTGTTTCTTCAGTCACTTAACGAAGGCGACATTCCATCTGCTTGAATAAAATGATTTACACACCAATCTAAGGCAAGGAAGAAGTACCCACCCAACTGCGCACTGATGATGTCTCCTCGTATGGTGACGAAACGTTTGCAGGCCAATTGCCAAGCTCGGCGAGCAGATCAACAGCCACCTGATGAGCAACTAATAAACTCACCCGAGCTACCAATATTCCACCACATTACCATTCAGACCAACTTTACCACGACCAACTTGATAACTTCAGTTCAACACGGATTTTTCACAAGCGTTATTGTGTGATGAACATAGTTGTATTTGGTGGTCGTTGACTTGTTCGCTGAGCTGGACAATTTGATTGCAAACGTTTCATCACCAATCGAGGTGACATTATCAGTGCGTTATTGTGGAGCGTAATATTGCGTAGCGGTGGGTTGGTGGTTGTGCGTTGGGCGGTGTTAACACACGCACAACCACCAACCCACGGCTACGCACTACTACGCTGCACGATAACGCACTGATGATGTCACCTCGATTGGTGATGAAACGTTTGCAATCAAATTCCCCAGCTCAGCGAACAAGCCAACGACCACCATCTACGATACCTGAGCTACCAGCATTTTCCTCTAAAGTTGTATTTATGGAGAGCGTAACCCAAACTGAGGACGAAGAAGTCATATCCGATACAGTATTTTCGACTTCTCAAATCATTCGATCGAGTCCTACACGTCCCGCTGGTCCACAATCCACGATTCAAGGGGAAGTTCTATTCCGGATCGAGGCGTCCCTCTCAGACAGACCGTTCCGAGTGAACGTAGACTCGACCTACTCTTATCCAGCTCCGGTGTCCGTTAAGGTTCTTCAAGGAACCGTTTCTGGACCACTGTTCTTTCTGACATCCGTCAATGTCTTCCAGATATTCTTGCAAGCCCATGTCTACTTATTGCGGGTGACCTGAAGTCCAGGAATTCTAATGCCAGTACCCTGCAGATGAATGTGGACGCTGCAGAGCAGTGGTCGTTGGACTGGTACCTTCCTCTGAATGACAAAAAGTGAGTCCACATGCCGTTTGGAAGGGACTCAGCGAATGCCACTATAATGCAGGTTGAGAAACAACCACGAGGCATCATGAAGATAGACACCAAAAAAGATTTGGATATCAAACGTGTCCATTAGAGATTGCCCCGAAAGGCATTCGTCGTTTTACGTTTTAGGTCAGATGCTTGGGCGCACCTTCCGCATTAGTACTTGCATGGATCTCCAAACACCCTATGTGGGCTACATCAGACCCATCCTTGAATACGCCGACCAAATTGTCTACTCAGGAAGCACGAAAGACGCAACCCTCATTGAGCGTGTCCAGTGACGTGCTATGAAAATGGTTGCCAGCTTTATTTCTGGACTGAGCTAACACGCTGGTGATGCTATGGAGAGGTAGCCCGGACGGAATTCACGCAACCACAGACAAGGGTGTCCCGCGTTTATAAGCCGCCTACTAAGCGTTTTGTTTTGTCTTCGAAGCTTTTTGTAGGGTGTTCTGTCTACCGAATGATGCAGTCGCAGAAGGTTTCTCCGAATTGGAGGCTTATTTGTTCCGAGCATTGCGGTGCCACATTTGGGACAACGCCAGCAAGCATGTGCATCATAAGCCAATGATTTGGCACTGTTTATGGGAGGACTAATGTTTCTGGCAACAATGCGGGTCGCGGTTACAAAGGTAGCCAAGCCTGAAAAAAGCCTGGATGTGTGGGTTCGCGAAGCGTTTGCAGACGTGGGACCTTTTGAGTTTTGCTCAAAAGTTACTGAATACACAAGGGTCTGGTTGGTTCATCGGAGGGTTATGTGCCGTAGTGAGCACTCATAAAACCGAAAGTCTGGGTGCATACTCGATACAGTGTATTTCCCTAGTGGATTTGCTATGGGAAATCATCAAGGTAAGAAGACTTGATGAAGATGAGCAATTTTCTTGTAGGACTATTCCTGGGCACATTCGAAGAAGTACCTGGGTTACCAACTTCTGCAGCCCCGGAAGAATTGGGTTGAAGAGCGGCATATTCGGTCTCAAGGTCACCCCCTTCGTGGCCTCCAGTCGCAGTTTCTCGGTGCACGGCTAGCAGTATTATCATAATGGTCCAGACAAAATTATTTTCTCTGATATAATTAAGCGAAGAATAGTTTTGGGCCATGTTGCCATTGAATGTGTTGGATTAGAATGACGTAAATGGATTAAATTTATTTTATTCGTCCTTGCGCTTGTTTCGGATTTATGCCCAACCTCACAGAGTGCCGACTGGGTACGGCTTTTCGGGTAGAAGGCTGTGTAATAGATTCTCACCCGACGGGAGGCGTTCCTGATGAACCAGAGACATCAGATTTTGTAGTGTCTTGGACACAAGATATCGATGGGGTAATCACAAAGAACGCATCTTTTGATAACACTTCCGTGGAATCAACAATGTCGGGTGATTCAGCATGCAAGGATTCATGCGAAGGTTCCGGTGCAAATAAAAAGCAAAGTAAGTCCATACTTGGGGGCTAGTCACTCTGCGATGTTTGCTTTTGGGAAGTTGGTCAAGGATTCATGCGAAGGTTCCGGTGCAAATAAGAAGCAAAGTAAGTCCATACTTGGGGGCGAGTCACTCTTTGCGATGCTTACTTGGCGGAATAATCTTTTTGGGAAGTTGGTCAGTCCATGAAATCATGAAGTCAGTACTGTCACAAGTGATCTAGGAAGGTTCGGGCCCAAGTTTCACATGATCGTCAGGTTTATTACCACCCCAACATACTTTATCCTGCAGTCAGTGTTTAGGATATCGAAGCTTCCAAGTCCATATCTTCAGAAATGTCTTTCTTCAGTCGTAGCACCCTTCCGGTGCCTTGCTGTCATGCCAACAAAAGTGTGCACAAGGAAATCTCCCACTAAATGAGTCACTCGTGCTCCATAGGTTACGCTGCTTAGGACATACGCTCCACATATCAGAGGATCGTCTACCCGGACCGAGCCCTGTGCTGAGTTGAAGTGACAGCAGTAGACAGTGTATGATCCGGCAACGAAGTATGGAAACGTAAACCACTTAACTGAGTCGACCCGACAACTTTCTCCTTTCTAAATGAGGGCTCCAGTACTCATCAGTGGTTAATGAATGACACTGGCACAACTCATCCAATCGTACCATCGGTGGCGCCGTTGCATCAAACCTATCGTCTTCACCGCGTAGCTACCCATTTCCCTAACTGAACGAACATGCCATCGGCTCCATTTCTTTCCTGTATCTCGTCACGAAGAGACTAGACCTTAGGGTGGTATGACCGTTTGTGTACCTCCGCGACCCATTGAACAATCCTGAAAGTCGCCGTCTCTGAAACCAGGTTGGTCAACGGTTAGAGGTCTGACGATCACAATCTCCTGGTCCTCAATATTGGGGGTTCCATAAAAACCACAGTGTATTTGCATTTTCTGCTAAAACCCTCCGCCTTTCAGTCGGGCTTTTGAGGGCCCTAATCGTCATCCTCCCCAGTTGTGGGCGCACTGGCAGTATCCCAGTCCACGTACAGCCTTGTGTTCTAGTCATACAGATAAATCCATGCCACATCGACCGTCGCGTGGTGCAACCAGTCGGGTCGCTTTGCTTGCTGCATAGAGCAGGGTGGGTAAGCGGAAACGGACTACTGCTGATTCCTCCCTTCTTTCTATTTCACATGCTTTTTCTCCCTCTCCTCACTCCATCAACATATCTCTCCTTATAAGCCCAGCAATTAGAGCTGACGACTTAGCGCATCTGGGACTCCATTAGGTGGCCGACATGCATTAGGCTCGGTAGGTCCGGACAATGGTGTACGATTGCCACAGCTGTGTGCTGAAAACAGACTGTTTTTATGCAGTATCAACTGAAGTTATCTGGCCACTTGGTGTTCCCCGTGCGCCGTGTTGGCTACGAATTCAAATTGATCACATTGCTATCAGTAATCAATGGCGCGGATCATTAAGTGACTGCCGCTCCTATTGGAACATATTTGTGTATTTCAACCATGCGCTCGTCCATCTTTTTTCATGGCCTCGAAAGCTGCGAGTAAGCCGCTCAACGGCTAAGAGACGCAGATCCGATTGTTGGATGAATTTAACATAATCATGTAGAGTCTCCCTACAGCACCACTATCGAAAGTGAGTTCACAGTGGAACGAGATCGCCACCTGTTTGCACAATGCTGGGGCTTTTGCCTGTGACAAGGCGCTGCCAGGTCCACACAACCACTGAGTATCAAACCGAACATGGGGACTGCTTAAACCTCGGTGAAATATCCTCTCCGGTCCTGTTACTAATAGAATATCGATTCTGATTGAGCGCGAGAACAAGAGTGAATAGCGTAGAATAAGTAGTGCTTTACTTGTCTAAGGATAGACATGCGTAAGCTGAAGGCAAAAGCATGGCTAATACAAAGCGATAATGTGAACATAGAATATTCATGACAGGTCCTGAACAAAATTTGCCCCGACGAACTATCAGACGTCAAGTGAAAGTGAGCGTGCGAGTTGACAGTGAAGTCTGCTGGACATACGAAACCAAAGGAACGGAAGATGCCCAGAAGGGCGGGAACGCCCAGTGATTATAACAGTTAATCCGTGCAACCGATCCCCGGAAACACCCTGTGAACGAAACCACCAAAGATCAGCATGGAACGACCATCTTGAACAAAGAAAAATGCCTCGACCGTGGCAGCCGCCAGCTGCCACTCACCTAGAGTCCACAACTGACTTAGAACCCTGGACGGTGAACGCGGAAGCCCCTACGGCCTCGGAGTTTTATGACCTCATATGTTCTCAAGTGCCATCGGCTGCATGCATTGTTCAAAGATGGGAGTGAAGTCCCCAGTCAGCGCTTGTCCGATATGTCTGCCTGCACTTGGGAAAAGGAATCTATTCCAGACAACTGGGAAGAGTCAGTGATAGTGCCCATTTTCAAAAACGGGGCTTGAAGTGAGTTTGGTGATCACAGGTAGATCATTTTACCCCGGTCGTAATGAGACTGTTGGCGTCACTCGTGCTTCGTCGTCTTATATGGCTGGGGAAACACTAAATGGAGAACAACAAGCGGTATTCCCGCCTGGTAGGGGTACGGATATTTCGTACTTTATTTCTTCTTCCGACGGGCGATCAAGGTTTAGATTTGATTCGCCTACAGGCTGTGTTGCAGGAGTCCAGCTGAACTGTTCTTCAAGGTGTTCCGCCCATATTTCCAGTCGGCGTTTTTGCGAGTGAATTGATGAGCCATCTTTTTAACTTTTCGTTTCGCTGACCGTTGCTTTCCCAGGTCTTTCCATAGGCTCTTCCCTATTTGGCGTCTGGGGGGTTTGAATGCGCCGTCGTACTTGTAGCCTGCTGGTATGGATTCCCCGGCATCAATCATGGGCAGAGATCTCGACGACATCCAATGGTCCTGTGGTCGAATCGGAGAAGTCGAACAGGCAGCACTGAACGCCGCTAACATATCTCCTTTCTCATTTTGCCACGAGAAGATACCAGAAGGTTGATAATGCATGATCTGAGGATGGGGAGTGCAAAGCACAATAATCTTAAATGCACTGGGGCATGTCCTTTGCGAGTTGGGGTGTCACTGAGCCACCAAATCAGTGCTTGGAGGTATTCACCGATATGACAATGTCGCGCAACTATTTGAGGCACTGCATTTGTACTCCTATTCTTAATCAGTATCCTGCAGATTCTTTCCTTGCTCTGTTGTTTCAATTGTCCTTTTGTACCCCATCCATCCTACAACATCCGCTTCCGTGAACTACAGCTACCCGAACTGCCTTACAAATATGCCTGGCTCACGGTTGTCAAACTACGTGCTCTACAACAAGGAAACTTCTTAGAAGGATTTTTTGGGATTCTCAAGGATGTTTCCTTGTTGAGGATGCACTGTACACACTGTGATCCTCTGTCCATGTCACTCTGTCAGAAGGGTCCCCGTTTGAAGGACCTGCAGATATCCTGTCCTCAGGTGTCAGAAGGGTCCCCGTTTGAAGGACCTGTCCTCAGTACAAGAGGTGCCACATATATTTGGCACAGGGCCGTTTGTGCAACATCATGAACGTTTTTTTACTCTGAGCGAACCAGGGAGAAGAATGTCAAAGATGAACTGGGCGCGCTATTTATCGAGCCATCAAACAAAATACTAGACCCTGAAATAAACGTTCTGGGTTACCGGACCGGACACAAAACGAATGTCGGCGTCCTTCTGTACTACTGAGGCTCTACTCATTAACCGCCCTCACGAAGAGACTGGATCTTACGGTGGTGTGACGGTTTGCGCACCTCAGCGATCCATTGAGCTATACTGGGGTGTGTTCCCGTGACACTTACAAAGTCTCATACCAGGTTGGTCAATGGTTAGAGGTCTGACGAACATAGTCTCTT